GCCCAGGGGGACCCACACCAGCAGTGAGTGCCTCCTTTGGGGGGACTGGTATGTGGAAGAGGCCACGAGCCTTGGCATCATGCTCATGTGGGAAAGGACTGTAGGTAGAGGCTCTGGGGGGCAGGTGCCCTTGGCCCACAGACTCTTCTCCCTATTGGGAGGAAGGGCCAGAGCAGGGTGCCCAGCTGACACTGTGCTGCCTCTACTCTGACCTCTCCTCTGACAATCTTTTCTCTTTTAAGCAGCCAAGGGATCTTTTATAATTCCATCCAATCATGTTACACTCCCCTGCTTTAAATCCTTCCATGGCTCTCCACTGCTTTCAGGATAAATGCAAAACTCCTCCAGTGCTGCCTATGAGGCTGAGGGCCCAGCCCCTGCCAATCTCTCCATTCTTGTTTCTTTTCATGCCCCACTCACTCTCCACCCCAGTCATGCTGGCCTTCCTGCAGACCCAAACCGGTCAGGTGGCTCTACCCACAAGCCCTGGCACATGCTGTTCCCTCTGCCTGCGATGCTCTTCCCTCCAGACCTGGCCCAGTTCACTCTCCCACATCCTTCAGATCGCTGCTCTAGTGTCCTCTGTGCATGAAGCCTTTGGGATTTCCTGCCTCCATCAGTCTCCCAAATACAGGCTTTCATGACTCCAAGCCCCTTTCACTTTGGAGATGACTTGACATTTGCTTGCATGATGATTTGATTAACGTCTTTCCCCCCTACAAGGACTCATGCAGTCAGAGACTCTCTGTTTTTGCCTGTAGCCTGGCACCGGTAAGAAAAGCTGACATTTATTGCAGGCTTACCACATGCCAGGCACAGTGCTAAGAGTCCATGCATCATCCCATTGACAACCCTATGAAGTAGATCCTGCTATTTTGTCCATTTTGTAGATGAAGAAACGGAGGCACATGGGGATAAGAAACTTGTCAAAGTCACACTTAATAAGTTGTGGGGCTGGGATTCAACCAAGGCTGTGTCGTACTAGAGAGCATGGGCTTCGCCACTCATCTGTTGCCTCTCTCATAACATCGCCATCTACACTGCACATGCTCCACGAATAGGTCTCAAATGAACGGAAAGACACACATGCACACATGGTCCACAAGGGCACACACCAGGATGAGAGCAGATGTGGTTTCTGGTTGGTGAGATTAGAGACTTATTTTAGTCTTTCACTCACTTGTATGTTCCAATTGTTCTATACAAAACATGTATTTGTTGATGCCTTTAAATTAAGAAAGGAAACCTTAAAATCTCTTTACTCTTTTCAGAAGAAGAAAGAATGGACCAAAATCAAGATCCAGAGGAATGGGTATGCCTTTCCCTTCCATTCCTCCAAAGCCCTGCTTTGATAGATGATGCAAAGCATTTTCGAGCTGGAAGGTCCTCATGATGTGGCAGCAAGAATGTAGGTGCTAACTTCAAACAGTTCAGGGTCTGAATCTGGGCTTTTACTGTGTGGTTTGGGCCAGTTTTATAACCTCTCCAACCTCAGGTGACTGGCTGACCTATGACCTCTTCTGCAAAACAGGTCATTACTGCCTTACAGTACCCCAGGGATGCTGTGAAGACTGGAGAGAAAGGACATAAATGACTCAGTACCTAAATGACTTGGCACATAATAGATGCTCAACGAATCATGGCCATCAGACTTAGTGCAACCCTAGTGGACAGACAGGAGGCAGCATGGACACCCCTGGAGCCCAAGCACACACCCAGAAGCAGCCACATGCCCCGCCGCTGGCCCCACCTGAATCTCTCTCTGGGTCTTTCTGCTTGGCCAGCTGACCAAGGAGACGGACCACCTGAGATGACCCCAGGGTAAGCTGCAATGGGTGGGAAGGCAAGGACACAGGCCACCCAGATGGCTGTTTTCCTGCCTGCAGGCACCCAGTGACACAGAGGATGCAGCCCCCTCCTGCCACATCCTCACCACCCCCTATGAGGACAGAAGGCGCATTTTTCCACCTAGATGAAAACCCCAAATCAGCTTCTGGGGACTGTGGTTTGGAGAGCATCTAAGAGGATTCTCCTGTGAGGCCTGGGAAGAAACGCAGAGGGGGGCAGGGAGAAAGGGGGTGAGTGAGGAGGAGAGTGGGCCGCCTGGAGGCCCCTGCGGCTCATCTGGTATTTACTTCTGCCACAGCCTTGAATACCATCGCACTCTGAAGGAATTTCCAAGAAGATCGAAATTTGAGGAAATCAAAGTTTAATTAGTCACAGCTGTTGTAATGTATTCCAGGTGATGACTGGCAAGGCCGTGTCTCCCCTTCAGGCCTCCTGACGCCTCGCACCCTCCGCGGGGGCAAGTAAACAGTGGGGTGTTTGCAGCGGGAGCCCTTCCCCTGGGTCAGCTGGGCAGCGATGGAGGCAAGAGGGCCTCACGCTGCCTCCTGCCACCTGGACAGGCATCTGCTGGAGCGAGGCAGGGTTTAGGCAGCCGTCTTCCTCCGCTCTGCCCCCTCCTTGCTTGGTTCCCATTTGGCTCTTTGCAAGGGAGAGCAGAGGCCACATGGGACCCTGGAGGGCAGAGACCAAAGGGAATGAGTCAGGTCTCAGCTCGCTCCTAAGTTACAGGGTGACCGTGGACAAGGCATTGAACTGAGAGACTGACAAAACGCCCAGGAGTCAGAGGGCCTGGGTGGGGATGCCGGTTCTGCAGCTCTACTCTGTGGCCTTGGGAAAGCTGGCGAACGTCTCTGAGTCTCAACTGCCTCATCTATAAAACGGGATTAGGCCCTGCACTGCTCACAGGACTGTCATAAGTTAAGTGAAGTCACGTGTGTCAAGTAACTTTTATGTGAAGGACGCTGGCACAGAGCTGACACACCATAGGAACTCAGGAACCAGAGTGGGCCTCAGTTTCCCCATCACCAAACTGGTATGGGGTTCCAACGCTGTAATAGAGGAATAAGCATTGTCAGCTCTTCAAAATAAAGCCAACCCTACAGGCATGCAAGGCTTAATCCGTCAGCGCGGTGCTCTTCAAAGGGGTCTGCTGAGTACCCTGCACCTGTCATGGGACTCCAGCTCCAGGGGGTGGGGGCGGGGAACCGACAGGAGTGGGAGGTAGGTTCACCCTTCTTGGTCTGTGCTAAGCCAAGCCATGTCACTGTGACCACTTACGGGAGGCCTGACTGGTATGCTGACACCAGCAGTGATCACAAACTGGTTCTGCTCTGTCCCAACCAAGTCTAGGGACAGGGATCTGGAGTGGGGCTTGCCCCAAGGACACAGCTGGCTGGTTAGTGGGCAGCGATCCTCCTGCTGTCCGTGGGAAGATCTCACGGGACACAGGCCCAGCCACAGTGGCTCGTGGACACTGGGCCATCTGCGGTGGCAGCTTGGCCCCACTCAGCTCCCCGGTGTCTGCAGCAGACAGTTCCCTTGGGAGTGGAGGTCAGGCCTGACTCCTCACATCCACGCGGTCTCTCCAGGGCCAGCTCCCCCACCCCCAACCAACCTCTCCCTCTCTTCCTCTAATTTTTTCCCAGCCCCAGGAGTCATTTCTACTCTAAGTTTTTGAAACTCAAAGCCAAGAATCTGTTCTTTTTCTCTCTGCATTTCTGCTGTGTCACCCTTTCCCGGAGGCAATGAGCAGGAAAGTCCAGCCAGCTGAAGGGAAGGATCAAGGGGTAGAAGGAAAGAGCAGAAACCAAACCTCTGAGTTAGCAGTTCAAAAACAATGACCTGCTTCATAGCAGAGAGAGCGCGTGTGCAGTTTCAAAGACGCAGCCCCAGGCACGCGTGTTTAACCATGTTGTTGTACAGAATATTTTCCTGAAATAAATGGATTCCTCGTGAAGACTGCCACATGTCCAGTAAATATCTTCCTCTCCCCTTGCGGCCTCTATTAGGAAGTGAAAGGGAGCGAGTGGCAGGCACCGCTGCTCATCCGTCCGTAGCTATCCCCCTACTTTTCTAATCAGTAAACCTGCTTCTACCTTAGAGGCTCAACATGCTAGCTGGTCACTTTCCTAGCCTCCCTTGCAGCTAGAGGTGATCTTGTGACCCAATTCTGGCTGGTGGGACCTGAGAGGAAGTTGGCTGAGGGGACTTCTAGGCAAGACTACCCTCTCTGGTTTAAGTTATAGCTTGGTTGTTTGCAGCCAAAAGCAGCCCAACTTAGGTTGAAAGAATGCTCTGGAATCCTTTCAGGTCTATGCTGTTCAGGGCTCTTTTTGGTTGCAAGTGGTCACCGGGATAAAATTTAAACTTCCTTAGCCAAACAGAGCAATTTTTAAGATTAATGCACATGGGTGTCTTGTGAAACTAAGCTGAAATATTGTCTCAGAACATTAAGAACCAGGGACTCCAAGAGCAACAAGATTCCCTCTCTGACTCTCATATTGTGTCACCCCCTATTGATGTAATAAATCCCTGCTAAAATCATTTATCACAAAACATCTGGTTGTACAGAATTAGTTGCTTTTAAGTTTTGATATGTCTTGAGGAAAAAAATGGTGAGTACATTTCTTAGCTTTAAAACTATATTTATAGTGAAGGAGGATTTTTTAAAAACTGATTTGTGCAGTCAATAATTCCCCTCTAGAATTCTAAGTGTGTGCCCACAAGGCTTCAAGGACTGGGAAAAATAGTTTCCTGGTTAAACGTTCACCACGGCATATTCTGGGTACACTGGGTATGGCTGATGGTGAGAAGCCTTCCGATGACACAAGGGAGAAGGAGCTCCCTTGCCAGTGGCTGTGAGGAACCAGTGAGTGCCTCAGATGCCAGTGGGGCACACTTCCCTTGGGGGGAACCTGGACTTCTGGTAAGTGGGAACCTTCTCTCCACAGAGCCTGCCAGTTCACTTTCCTAAAATGAGCTCAATCTTTGGTTTCAAATTCTCCGTGGGATGTCAGCGTAGGGAAAACTGTCAACATCATGGTTGCTACACGAACCTCGAAGTACACTTTGATGCAAATGTAAATTTGATCAGAGTAACACAGTTTTACGTGAAACATGACACATGGTGTGGGGATTTGTGTGTTTAAAAAGCTGCAGTGATTCTAGGGCAGAAGGAACCACTACACAGAATGTGAGTCCTTTGACCCAGTCAAGGCCCATGTCTTATGAGTCACTGAGTTCCTGCACCTAGAATATACAGGACTGGCACATACTAGGTGCTTAATAAATGTCCCCTGAGTCAATGAATGAGGAAGAGGGAAGGTGGAATGCAAAAACCGAGAAAGATTTTTCTGCAGGATCTTTCCCAACCATAAAATACCAAAGATGCTACTTCTACTCCTCTGTCTCTGGGAACAGGCCCCCCACACAGAGGTGGGGGTGGAGCACACAGGAACTGGGTGGCAACCAGAGCCCAGGGTGCTGACTGAAGCCAGGGTTTGGCCCAGACAGAGCAGCTTCTCGGGACCGCTGAGGCCCACAGGGAGGCTCAGCCACCCCTGCACTGGGCCCCATAGAGAAAACACATGTGTTTACTTGACCTGAATGACATGTTCATTGATTTCTCTGGAGCAGTTCATTCATAAAGGCAAATTGAGCCCCCCTCGTGGGAATACCAACGGCCTTTTAACAAGCTCCCCAAGGGGTAACTTCTGAAAATGAGTTGCTGATGAGCTAGAAATGGAGTTTGCCTGCCCAACCTGGTCCTGTGGCCCAAGGGTGCTGAGCACCGGGCACAAGGTGCCATCGTGTGACGTTGGGGGCCTTGGCCTGGCCCAGCAGGCAGGACACAGTGGACAGGGCAGGAGTGGAATGCCCCCGGCTCCTGCACGCTCAGCCGCATCTGGGCAATTAAGGCAAAAGGGATTTGTTGCCCACATGTTCTGGATCAATGCTCCCCTGCATTAGCTCTGGTAGGTGAACGTGATGGGGCAGAGGGACTGAAGGACTATCTGAGCAGAAACATCCTGTGTTCTTCCTCGACGGCCTCAGCAGTTTCAGTTCTTGCTCAGACAATGTGGTTGCACCTTGTGTTCGACGCAGAGAGGAGAGGTGACCTGCCTGAGGTCACACAGCTGGTGTTTTCACAGGGATTTGCAGTGCACAAGTAGGCACATCTACATCTTTAATCTCCCTCAGTCTGCACAACAAAAATATGGGGTCAGTATTGGTACCCACTATTTATATTTTTATAACACTACTTCCCATTCTTTTTAAACTTGCCCTTATTTTTCCCTCACCTTCTATTTTAGGAAATACTTTATTTTCTTTTATCTTGCCGGATGACACTGTGTGGCTGGTCGTCAGACAGCATCTGGGACCCGCGGGTCTGGAGAACTCTGGCCCCCTCACTTTGATTGTTCCCTCTCCCCTCTGCCTCTTCCTTTTCCTCCTTAATCCCTTTTTTCCTCCTCCACATGTATCTGTTATTTTTCTCCCTTCCCTTCTCCACTTTCATCCTCAAGGAGCAGCCTAGAGACTGGCCCCAAAATTAAGAAATAAGAGTTCTCATGCCTGTCCTGCCACCAGCTTACTGGCTGATGTGACAAGTGACAAGTCATTTCTCTCTGTGGTCTGGGTTCCTCATCTGGATAACCAGGGGTTGGTCTTTTGCCCTTTGAAATTGCTTCCAGCTCAGAGAGCCTGATGCGGTTACGACTCTCTGGTCCTCCGTTGGCTCACGGCTGAAGGATATGCATCTTGTGCTTCTGATCTGCTGGCTGATGTCTTAACTAGAGAAATTCGGGTGCTTAGTCAGAAGTCACACCGACGGGGACAGCCCGGTACGCATTCCCACTGGAGGGGCCACCCCCACAGCTCACTCGTGATTTCCACCATGATAAATCTCCAGGGTATTCCCCCTGGTGAGGAGGTACCTCCACGCACCCTCATTCAGGACTATGGGCCACCTCACTTGGTTCTCTGCTTATTGAGTGTGACGTGGCTGTCACTATTGATTCTGCATTATTGAGGGAGACGCTTTGTATTTCCTGTCAGGGACTCTGCTGGCAATTAAGATGTGCATCCAGCAGGTGAGTGATGGAAACTTGGTGATGGTCTGAGCCTTTTATACTCCATTATTCTTTTGAAAAAATTGTTGTTAAAATTATTAAATTAATAGTAAGAGTTAAATTAGTACTAAAAAAATCAAGATCTTTAAGAAAAGCAACTCACAAACATAATATAATACATTCTCAAGACACTCACTCAACTCTGCATATTCTAACCCTGGTTTTTACCTGCAGATGTGTCAAAACACTTCTTCCAACTTTCCTGGAATGGGTATTAAGAAGAAAGTGCTCCCAGGGTGGGCTTGTGTTCTAGGATTTGCAGACTTTAAGGAGTGGGTATTTTAAAGCCCTCCTCTTTGTTTTCTCTAAGAAAAGGATGATTGCCTGCTTTTAACTTACCACAAAATAGATATTAGTGGTCCTGAGAAAATGGTCGTATGGCTGCCAGGTGCTGTATTAGTTTCCTATTGATGCTGTAACAAATCACCACAAATTGAGTGGCTTAAATGATACAAATGTATTACCTTAGAGTTCTGAGGGTCAGAAGTCTCAGTGGGCTAAGTCTCACTGTGGGCAGGGCTGCACTCCAACTGGAGGTTTTGAGGGGAAAACCCAGTCCTTGACTTTTCCAGCTTCTAGAGCTGCCCACATTCCTTGATTCATGGTCCTTTTCCATCTTCAAAGCCAGCAATCACATCATTCAACCTCTGCTTCTGTCACCACGTCTCCTCTGATACAACTTTCTTGCCTCCATCTTTCACTTACAACAACCAGTGGCATTACATTGGATCCACCAGGATAATTCAGGGTAATCTCCCCACCTAAAGATAGTCAAATTAATAGTTTAATTTATTATAGTTTAATAATTTATTTTTGATAAATTGATTAAATTATCAATAATGAATTTCTTGTTAATTATTACTGAACGTGGCAGCTTTAACTGGTACTTAACTCAATTGTAATTCATTTAATTAATTTGCAAAATTCCTTTTGCCCCATAAGGTAACATATTCATAGATTTGGGACTAGAACAAGGACATCTTTAGGGATTCCATTATTCTGCCTGCCTATAGATACCTTTTGACTTCAGGAAAACCAATGTGATGGCTTACAAAATAGCCACAGATTTCTTTATTTATGTCCCTTCTCAACATTTGGCCATTCCTTCCACATAAAGGTTGATCCTATTCTACTTTTTAAATTTGGACTTGGTGGTGTGACTTTCTTTGGTCAATGCAAATGTGATATAAGCAAAGGGTATTAGGGATTGCCTTCTCTTGTCACTCTTGGGAGCCCTGTGACCACATCCATGTCAACAAGTCCTATGTAGCCTGCTGGATGAGGAGGCGACATAGCTCAGTTACCTCTGTCACCCCAGCCAACAGCCAAGCACGTACCAGACAAGTGAGCAAGACTACTGCCTGTCAGCTGACTGTGGCACAGGGGTGAGCTCAGACAGGCTCGGTGGAAGAACAGACCAAGTTGCTCAAATTTACAAACCATAGGATCCTGAGCAAACACATGTCTGTTTTTAAGCTCTTACATTTTAGTGTGGCTTGCTTGTTACACAGCAAATGCTGACTGACACAACTCATGGCCCACTTTTGCCCAATCAGTAAAGGTTTTTCAGTTATGATATTTCCACATCAAACATTTCTCCTGGTTCTGATAGATAATTCAGGAGAAATTCTTGTGAAATGAAATTTACATCCTCCCATTATTAGGGAGAAGCAGATACCTTTCCACTGATCAGTGAAAAACTAACAGAACTGCTTCCTAAACAAAGGTTTTAACAAAATTTAACAAAGCATTTCAAGTCTTCTTTTCTCTACTAGACTCAGTTCCCTTGAAGGCTGGAGCGATGCCTGTGGCTCAGGTCTTCATCACAGAGCCAGGCATGGATGGTATAGAGCTTAAGGGCAGGGGTACTGGAGTCAGAAATATCTGAATTCAAATCCTGACTTAACCTGTAATTATAAGAACTTAGGCAAGTTGCTTAACCTCTCTGTGACTCATTTTTCTCAGCTGTAAAATGGGGATAATGAAAGTACATACCACACAGGATTGTTATGAGAATTACATCCAACACTAATGTACAAGCACTTAGAATGTCAGGTACAAGCATTCAAAAGTATTAGAAATTATTATTGCACAGAGTAGGGCACATAATAAATACTCAGTAAAGACTTGTCCATTTGAACCAGGAAGCAAAATTTCTGGGGCCCAAATGTAGGCAAACTCCATTTCTGGAACAGCGTGAGGAAGCCTGAGACATTGTGGGTCAAAGAACTGTTAGCTCTCTTCATCTAGAAGTTAACTTTCATCAGCTCTTAGCCCTCGGCTCCTGTGTAGACTCTGATCCACAGTTGCACCAGAGTGACTGAAGCCCATGGGACCTTCATAATTCAGTACTTACCCCCATGATAATTAGTCTCTACAGACGCCCTGCACCTGGACCATGAGCCACATCTCTCATAGTCAATGCACCAAAATGATGGCATGCGGCTGCCAACGCTAGGTCATGTGACTTCCACAGCTGCAGCCTTGGCCTGTTGGAAAGCTTGCCCTGGATGAAGCCAGACACTGCATAAGAAGTCCAGCTCGCTTGATTCTACCACACTATAAGAAAGCTCACTAACCACATGGAGATGCCATGTGGCAAGAGAGATGCCTGACCAGCCTCCAGATGTTGTAGCTGTCCTGCTAAGGTGCCAGACCTGTGAGTGAAGAGGCCATTTCGGACACCCAGCCAAGCGGAGCCCTTAGATCCCTCCAGCATCAGTTGTCATCTGACCGCAGCCCCAGAAGAGACACAAGCCAGAACCACTCAGCTGAGCCCCATCAAACCCGCAGAACTGTGAGAGATAATAAACAGTCGTTTTAAGCCACTGGGTTTCAGAGTGGTTTATTATAAAGGAGTAGATAACCAGAAAATCTCCCAAACTTACCAAGAGCTCATTCTGCCAGCCATTTTTTTTTCATTGATTCAACTCACAAACATTGGAGAGAAACAAGTCAGAGTCCAGTATTGGGCCCTGTGGGACTTCACATTCAAGCAACATTTGAAATCTGTGGCTTTAGGCCAGGCACCACGCCAGGCACTTCCACACATTTTATGTTATTTAAACTACTAGTTATGAGCTGGGATCCTGCTATCAGACTGCCTGAGTTCAAGCTCTGGCTTCACCACTCACAGTCTGATGACTTTGGACAATTAGTCTAACTTCTGTTTGCCTCACTTCCTTCATCTATAAAATGTGGAGGATAATAGCACAATCCCACAAGGCTTTGGGAGGATTAAATGAAAGATTTCACGTAAAATACTATGTGCCTAGTCACAGAGTACACATTCAGCAACCAGGAAATACTGTTGTAAATATCACTGTGACTACAGCCAGCTCCTGCCTTTGAGGAACCTAGGGAAGCAATAAGATATGGGCAGAATTGCCTTCCAGGAGTAAAGCAAGTATCTGTAAGTGTTTTCAATGTATGAGCTACTCAATCACAAAATTAAAAAGAATCCCAGAAATGAGAAAGCAGGGAGATAAAGTGCTGCAGGTGCTCCAGTGTGGGAGAATTGCCTCGGGCTGAGATGCTGAAGGAAGGCTTCCTAGAGGAGGCAGTTTTTGCGCCAGCCCAGTGAGAGCTGGGGAGGCCTTCAGCATCGGGGAGGGGGAGTGACCCCTCCAGGTGGTGGGGACAGCTGTGCGAACCCAGGCCACCAAGGAACCTACATGTTGGCTGATGTGGCTGGAGCATGGAGTGTAGGAAGGGAGAGATGAGACGAAGGTAGACTGGGGCAGATCATGATTGGACCACTTCCTATGCTTATTTCTTCACTGGAGCCCGCAGAGAAAGCCAAGCATGTTAGCCAGGGAGGCTGCCCAAAGTGGCCCCCCTCCCTGGGGAGGGAGCAGTAGGAATCAGGTGCCGGCCCCAGCCTGGCTCAGCACCCAGAGGAGCCCAGAGCTCCGGGCAACCACTCCATCACGCTCATCCCTGTGCCTTCCTCGGCACCTACCATTTCTCTCCCTCTAACCTGCCTTCTAAAATCTGCGCATCACTTCTCAAGTCCTGCCTGGCTGGCCCACTACTTTGGGGGCTGCCTGGCACGAAGGTCCACTTCTTGCCTGCTGCCAGAGGGGCCTTGAGTGTTGAAATCCTTCCATTCCTCAAGGCCAGAACTTGATTATGTTATTAATTAAAGCAAGATGCTGGGCCTAGAAGATTTATTTTCTTTTCCATATCTGTGGCTGTAAATGCCACTCAGGGAGCTCAAAGGCCCATGTCAGCCTGAATCAGGCTCCTGAACAGACGTTTTGTTCCCAGTTGGGTCTCTCTGGCCCCTCCTCCTCAGTACCAGGAAGGAAGTGTGTGTTATGATACCCGCTCCTCACCCCAATTTCCTTTGCTCCATCTGCATGAGGCAAAAAGGGGGAAATACCTGGGCAGCATGGCATGGGGAGAAAATTTTCCAAGAAATTCGTTTAAAATTTCTGCCTCATCATTATAGGACTTTCACGTTTCTATTTTTAGCTGCACAAACGAGGCAAGCCCACAGTCCCCTCATCTACCCAGCCCCAACCTTTGTTTATACAAAGCACATGCTGAAATCATTATTTCAAAACTTCCAAACTCATAATTGCTCAGGTAGGTGAAGAATGCAGCCTTTATGGATACAGCTTACAGAGGAGCCAGAGTGTTCCTAGGAATCTATGGCTTATTCACATTTGCGTCCCCCTGCACTTAGCCCGCACTGAACCCCTGGAAGGCCCAGAAGAATTGAGCAACTTAGAGCCGGAGAAGGCATTATCGATTGCAGAGTCCAAGCACTCTGAGAAGAGGAAATGGAGGCCTAGGGTACGGATGAGGTACGTCCAGAGGTCCACAGGATATCAGTGTCATTGCTGGGCTTCAAACCCAGATGTCCTGACTTCAATGTGTCATTATTGATTCTATTCTGCTATGAAAAATCTATCTAAAGTTGGACTGCCAAGTCCGAATAAGACCTTGAGCAAGTCACCAAACTCCTCTGTACCTCAGTTTCCTTATCTGTAAAATGGGGATAACAAAACTACTCACCTGAAGAGATAGGCGTAAGGATTCACTGAGGGCCTGGAAGAAAGGAGCCCTAGTTTGGGGCTGGTCTCCCCAGCAAGCAGAACCAAGCCATTAGCCCCGCCCAGGAGGTCATGTTTTCCCATATCTCAGGTCCCTTTTCTTTCCATGCAACACGGACCACAGAGTGTTTTTCTCACAGCTCTGGGCATCTGGAGTATTTCCCCTCCCCGCTGTCTTTTAGAGGCACCACTGAGCATGGGGGCAGCTGCCCATGTTTGGCCAGTACCACTGATTGCTTCAGCTCACCTGGGAACCAGGCCAAGCTCTTTCTTCATTTGGTCCTAAATAACAGCCCCTGAGGCCACACTGAGGAGCGGAGGAAGGGCGTCAGTTTGAGAAAGGTAATTACGTGGGCTTCTGCCTTGTTATCTGTTCATGTGCTTTACCTATGCCTCCTGGACCAGACCCCAGATAAATGATTTCCATCGTATAACTTGAAGCATTAAAACAAGCATTTTGATTTGGCACCTCTGACAGTGCACAGCTGTACTATGGGCATGCCTGACACCATCCAGTCAGTCAGATCATACGGTGTAAGGGGCAGAGAAGCTGCTAGATCAGCACCATGGTGTACTCGGGTGCTAGGCATTTTTGCCTTTGTGGGCCCTTTCTTTCATAAAAGAATGTAAAATTTTATTTTATCATTCCATTGGTATGAAGATAGATATAATCTAGGCTGTATTCATTACTTTTATATTCATTATTTTCTTTTGATTTTTAAATAAACCTAAATATTTTTCTGGACCCCAGAAAGTATTGTGGGTCCTAGGCCTAATGGATAAGCAGGTCCTGCTTGCACCTCAGCCTGGACCCACTGCAGAGCCTTCCCTTGCCCTGGACCCATTCAAAACTGGAAGCCTCCTAAGTCACCTAAAAAATACGTCAGAGTACTCTTAGCCAGTGTGGTAAATGCTGCCCCTAAAGGATGCCACCAGGAATTATGTCTATTTCTTAGTGGTAAGGTATATAAGGTACAATAATTTGTCCTTTACTTGTGAGATGTACTAGCATTTCCCAGACCACTATATCCCTCCAAACTTCACCAATATGGCAGGTCCTTGAATCTTCGTGGGGTTTACCTCCCACTCTGTGACACATATGTGTCTTTTTAAGGTATCTTGGTATCTACTCCTTGCTCACCAAGTTCATTAGCATGATATCATCGATATAGTTGACCAATGAAATGTTCTGCAGGATATTAAGACAATCAAGAGCCCTGTGGACTGTATCCCATCAGAAAGCAGGAGAGCTAACAGAGCCCTGGTACAAGACAGTATGTGTACTGCTGCCCCTGCCACCTGAAAGCAAGTGGCTTTTGATCTCTGATCTCTCCTGATAGCAGCCAAAAAAAATGCATTTACCAGGTTAATAGGCACATACCAAGTCCAGAGGGTACAGATCTGCTCTTGGAAACATAACATATCCAGCATAGAAGCTGGGATTGGAATTCCCCCTTTGTTAGTTTATGGTACCCTATAACCCATTCAAGCCAGATCGGTGAATTGAATAGGGATATGACACAGATCACCACCTATGCACCCTGTAAATCTTTGTTAGTGGCACCAATCTCTGCAATTCCTCCCAAAACACACTATTGCTTCTGAATTACCATCTTGGCCAGGAGTGACAGTAGGAGAGAACTTCAGGGGCTTCTATTTGACATCTCTTACTGTAATGGCTTTTACTCTACAGGTCAGGGAAACAATGTGAGGGTCCTTCCAGCTGCCAAGTACCTTGTTCCCAAGTAAATACCCAGGGACCTAGGAAATAACTTTCAGAGCAGGTCTGCAAACACTAATGTGAAACATCCTTGGGCCCAAACTTCATTTGTCACTTGGCTTCCATAAACCCCCTAACTGAAGGACCAGTAACAGCATTTCAGGTCCCTGGTATCAGGGTCAGATTAGCCCCGTTATCAAACAGTACTCAAAATGTCTGTTTCATAAGTACAGAGTTAGCCTAGCCAATGACCACTGGTTCTCTTGGGGAAGAATCAGAGCACCATCCCCAGTGATACCAGGGAGCCCACTTCCATGGCAGCATCTCCCATGATCAACTCCAGTCCATGGAGACAGCGGCTATGGGGCGTCTCACTGACACTGGGGCAACCATCACCAGGGCAGGTCTTACTGCCTTAGTTAGGGAGTGTCTTCTGGACCCTCTTGGGGAACACAGTCAGCTGGTGGGCTCTCAGGTTTTAAATACTACACCCATGATAACATTACCGCTCCTCTGAGTCTTCTGATCCCTTAGTTACTAGTAAGCCAAGGAAGTTCTGACAGATGCATTCCACTTACCGTAGTCCAACATCATATCCAAACCTCAAAGAGCATCTCATTCCTCCTTCTCCACTAAGAAAATTGGCTTAAGTCTGTTATCCCACATATCCAGCACCCCCAAGAGGGATCTTAAGCTATAAAGAATTGAATTACCTTAGAAACACTTTGAAGATGGCATCTCACCCCTGCCCGGGGCTATCCGCTCAGAGCAGTGTTTCTCAGAGCCTCACCTGAACTGCACAGCCCTGCCCCGGCCTCACCCCAGCCAAAGCTGCTCTTTTCAGGAGTGCACACCTAACCCAAGGGGTGTACAGATTCTCTGCCCTGGGCACCTGAAATTTGGAAGAAGCCTAGCAACAGGGGGTCTCTGGGGCTAAGATGCCGGGTTGTAAGCTCCCAGGCGCAGACACTGTCTAGTTCTCCCCTTGCATCCCAATGCCTGCAATAGTGCCAGGCCGCAACAGGTTCTCAATAAATATTACTGAGTGAATATTCTTTGCTGGAACCTGCAAGCAGGTCACCAAATGGCCTGTTAGTGCTGAGATATCTTGGTCTCTTCCCTCCCAAGCTCACTCTTCTTTTGAATCTATCAGTTACTTCAGTACCCATAAAAGTACCAATGGGTTTTTTTCCCCTTAAAAAAAGACAGTTTCTATTGTTTGCAGCCAAAAATATTTTAAACACAGCAAGATAAAATTTCAGTCACTGGGGATTAACCCAAAACGCTTTTCTCACATTACCCCAACTCTCAGCTATACTCAACACAGTTGACCTCCCAATCCCAGAGACTTCCTTTCGGTGGCACCCATGACACCAGACTTCCCTGGATGTCATCCTGACCCACAGGCAGCCCCTCCTCCTCCTCCTCCTCTGTCAGAACTCCAGAGACCCCAGGGGTTATGGGTTGAATTGCACACCCCAAAAGATGTTGAAGCCTTAACCCTCAGTACTTGTGAGTGTGGCCTTATACAGAAATGGGGCCTTTGCAGATGGTCCAGTTGAGATGAGGTCATTAGGGTGGGCCCTAATCCAATATGACGGGTATCTTTATAATAAGGGGAACTTAGAGACAGAGAAAGAGGCACACACAGGGAAAATGCCAGGTGAAGGTGGAGACTGGAAAGATGCATCTATAAGCCAAGGAATGCCAAAGATCTGCAAAGCACCAGGAACTAGGAGAGAGGCGTGAACATTCTTCCTCACATCCCTCAAAGGGAACTGATCCCTCTAACACCTTCATCTTGGACTTCTAACTTCCAGAACTGTGAGACAATTATTTCTTTTGTTTAAGTCACCCAGTCTGTGGCATGTTGGAACAGCCATGGGCAGCTGACGGGCCAGCGCACACCCAGGCTCTCTCCTTTGAACAGTCTCTGCTAGGTAGTCTCCTCTAAATGGGTAGCTTTCAACACTATCTATATGCTGATGACTCCCAAATGATGTCTTTGGTCTTGATCTTGCCTCTGAGTTTCAGACTCTTACGTCCAGTTGTTTCCTGGTCAACTCCATTTGGATGTATAAAAGGCATCTCAAACTTAAGATGTTCAACAAATAAGTTTTCATTTTCCCCACCCAAATCTGCTCCTCCCCTTAACACTCCATTTCATCCCCAACCTTCCCGTAGCTCAAATCAAGAATTTGGAGCCATCTTTAATTCTGTTCTTTCCTTCATCCCCTCCACACCCAAGCCATCCACAAACAACTCCTGCTGACTTTACGTCAAATACGGAAGTCACATCTATCTTCTCTCTGTCCCCATGCCCTCTGCCCTTGTCCAATCCAATGTAGCCTCTCACTTGGCCTGTTTCTCATCTTCCCAAATGGCCTGTTTCCCCTGCTCCTCTTACCACACCCCCCACCAATCCATTTTCTTCCCAGTGGCCAGAGTGTTGGCTTTTAAAATGTATTTTTAAAATATAAATCAAACCATGCTTAAACCCCTCCAGTGGCTTCCCATGTTACAAAGACACCTGGACCCCAAGCTTCTAAGCTACTCACCTTAGAGAGACTCTCTGACCTCAGCACATGCTGCTTTGCGTGACCTCCCTCCACCCCAGGCCCACTGGCATTTTTTTTTTCTATTCCTTGAGCACTTCAAGGTCTTTCCTGCCTCAGGGCCTTGGCATGTGCCTTTCTCTCTGCCTGGAGAACTCTAGCATTTGGCACTTTGTATGGCTGCTACCTCATCATTTCAATTCCAGCTCTCCTTATCCAGCCTTTAGAAAGAGAGGTCTTCTCAGACAGCCGAAGTCTCTTGCTCCACACCCTGTTACCCTGGCTGTACACCTCACAGCACTTTATCCTATCTGGGATGAACTTGATTATATATTTCTGTGCCAACTATTTACTTTCATCAAAACACCACACCAAGTAAACACACATGCACAAACACACACACGAAGGCCAGGACTTTGTCCCTCTCATTCACCAGTATTCATAGTCGGTGTTCAAATAAACATTTAGTGAGTAAGTGAATGAAGAATGAATACATCCTCAAATCATGGCACTGACATGTAAGGCAGGCCCAGCCTCCCTGCCCCCACGTCTGTGGTAGTCCAGACCTTCGGACATCCACAAGAAGGTGCTTTTAAGGACATGTGACCCCCACCTCTCTATGCATCATGCTCCCTCTCTGTCTCAGTTTCTCATTTATAGAGTGAAAGAATTAATTTACAAGGTGATATATTCCATCTCCAAATCTGTGGTTCACGTCCAGTTTATACCAAGTGACTTTCACCTAGACCAGCCACTGCCAGGGGCTGAGCAGACCCACATTCAGGAACCAGGGTGAGACAGTGGACACGGGGGCCGGTAGAGAGGAACAGGCCTCATGGCATCACATGTGTCA